GTATTTCAGTAGTGCCGGACATCTTGCTATCGGTTTATGCCCAACGTTTTTGATCAGAATTTGAATTGTCGACAAACAGGAATGTATGATGTTATCAAAATACATATTGTTTCATTCATATCTGTTTTATAATTTAATTTTTCAGATTAAGATGGTTCAAATGTAGGTTTTATCAGCTTAAGATGGCCCATGTTAGGGTTTATCAAAGATTCATGTGAGAATATAACTGGGGTTCATAATGAAACATGGGTTCGGCGAGTGGGAAAACGTTGGAAACCACTGGACTAATGTATTCTTATAAATAAACTAGAAAGATGTTTTATTAGAATTGTGTGCCGTATATAATCTAAAATTTAACAATTCATCAGAAGATAGTTTCTTCATCAATGCGAAACATCAAGCCACACCAATCAGATACCTCAAGATACATTCTACAATATCAATATGACATATTCTACATCATTATGATACATTCTCTACATCAATATGATACATTTTAGATCAACAATAGAAATAAGATAATTCTACATCAATAACATATATTCTACATTAGTGAGATACATTCTACATCCATAAGATATATTCTACATCCCTAAGATATATTCTACATCCATAAGGTATTTTTACATCAATAAGATATATTCTACATCAATATACATTCTGCATGACTACATTAATAAGATACATCCTACATCAATGATATACCGTCTACACAAATATCAATAAGATATATTCTACGTCAATGTGATACATTCTACATCAATATTAATAAGATACATTCTATGTTAATAAGATATATTCTATGTCAATATCAATAAGATATATTCTATGTCAATATCAATAAGATACATTCTACACCAATAAGATACATCAATAAGATATAGTCAATATGTCATCAATAGGATATATTCTACACTAATATCATCAATAAGATAAATTCTACATCAAACATCAATATCAACAAGGTACCTTCTACATCAATATCAATATGATACATTTCACGTCAATATCAACAAGGTACATTAATAAGATACATCCTACATCAATGATATACCGTCTACACAAATATCAATAAGATATATTCTACATCAATGTGATACATTCTACATCAATATTAATAAGATACATTCTATATTAATAAGATATATTCTATGTCAATATCAATAAGATATATTCTATGTCAATATCAATAAGATATATTCTACACCAATAAGATACATCAATAAGATATAGTCAATATGTCATCAATAGGATATATTCTACACTAATATCATCAATAAGATACATTCCACGTCAATATCAACAAGGTACATTTACATCAATATCAATAAGATACATTCTACATCAATATCAATATCAACAAGGTACATTCTACATCAATATCAACAAGATACATTCTACATCAATATCAATAAGATACATTCCACATCAATATCAATAAGATACATTCTACATCAATATCAACAAGATACATTCTACATCAATATCAACAAGATACATTCTACATCAATATCAGTAAGATACATTCTACATCAATATCAACAGATACATTCTACATCAATATCAACAGATACATTCTACATCAATATCAACAAGATACATTCTACATCAATATCAGTAAGATACATTCTACATCAATATCAACAGATACATTCTACATCAATATCAACAGATACATTCTACATCAATATCAACAAGATACATTCTACATCATTATCAATAAGATATATTCTGTTTCAAGAAGATGCATATTCTACATCAATATCAATAAGATACATTCTATGGCAATGAGATAGCTTATACATCTACACTCTACACCAATATCGTTTAATAAATATGTTTTGATTTATTCTAATGTTTAAGTTTAGTAAATGAGCAGAAATGTCGAACAGGACGTAAATAAGTGACCGGACCAAGTCTGAGTTAGTAAAACAACACTAAAACCCATCATCGGAGTAGAATATGAAATTGCTTTTACATTTCCAGAACACATAAAATACACCGCTAGTTGGAATGGTCATGTTGTAGAATTATTCGCCCAATGGATTTTAATGTGTAACAGAACCGATTGAATGCGATTTATATTTGTTGTATGGCGAACAATATGTTGGATATTGAAATATGTATACCACTGTTACTGTACCGGTAAGATTGTTGTTGCGACCTAATTAATCAAGTCTAAGAACAAACAAAATAAAACCTGTTAGTAATATTTTTATTTTATTAATACAGACATATATTATATTATATGCCATACTATTTTCAATTGGGTATAGTCTTGATAAACTGTTTTTGAGGAATAGGTTAACACGTGATATGGTTGCAAATTATGAATATGCCGAGCTGATTATTTAACACGTGGGGTCACGTTGGCAAAGTGGGTAAGACGCTGGCTCGCTAGCTTGGAGGTCGGGTGTTCGATCCCTGCATTCGCCGAGAAAGTTCATCCAGATTTTCCGGCGTGATACCCCCTTATCAGTGATGCAGGACGCTGTCTAGACGTTCGGATGGGACCAAAAACCGAGGTCCTGTGTGTGCATTGGCGTGCACGTAAAAGATACTCTGACAGTTGGAATTCCATATAAGAGTAGGCTGTAGTGCCGCTGTCCGGGCAAAATTTCCCTCATGGCGTATGCCCGTCTTCATTAGCCCAGTTCTGAGCAGAACTTGAAGACGTTAAAGCCCATTTCATTTCATTATTTAATAATAGGAAGGGGTGCGATGTGGATATTATTGACCAACTAATCGATTTCCATATATTCTATCATTTAAGCCACTCGAGAAAATGCGTGTCACTGGAAAAATATTGTCAGTCCAGATAATGCTATTCATACTTGATCTTGAAAATAAGTAAAATTTTTATTTTCAGAAAAAAAAGCCTACTTGACGATTGCGAGATATGAATATTGAGATTGGTTCCAACCCCTGTATAATCTGACTCTACATGGAACTAAAATAGTTGGTTTAAACAGGTAGCCGGTTTATATATGTTTGAAACTTTAAACAATTTATTAATTAGAAATTATTTGAACCATATAGTTGTAAAGAAAAATACCTACTAAAAATTGCTAGTCTAAAAGTATCTCATGATTAAACCCCATCAATTACACTTAAAAAGCTCCACAGCTTTCTTTCATATGAGAGAACGTAAGACAGAAAAGTGCTGAAAAAGTACATTTATGAAAAAAATTAGAATCATTTTATAGAACATATTCTAATAACACTATAATTTATCTATGAAGTCTGCATATAGCGTAGTCCCGAAATGACACCTAATCTGTATCGAGTGGACGTTAAACCCCATTTCTCTCTCTCTTTGCATATAGCGAAAATGCAAAACAGAAAATTGCTGAAAAGGTGCATTTATGAGAAAAAATAAAATAAATTTAACATCTAATAACACTATGATTAATGTACGAAGACTGCATATACCTATCAGATGTAGGCTGCTTTCGTATTTCAGAAGATAAAACACCATTATTATATTTCATTCATCTTTTTATTTGATCATCACCATATGGTGTTTTGAGATATACATGTAAATATATTCTACAGTATATACTAATAGCATTTATTTAAATATATGTATTTTGACAATTCATTGTTAATGATATAAACGATCAAGGGATAGAAGCAGTCAGTGAGTCAAATCATTTCTATAAGATATTATAAAACGATTTAAATATTTTCTGCATATACATATATTAGTATACATGAGAGATGGAAACAGGTTTTTGAATATGGATCATAATCTAGAAAGAAACACGTGGCCAAAATTTACATGATCTATTAGCATCTATACACATAAAATACATATTCTTTGGTTTGCTTTAAAAACGGGTCGAATATGGAATAACGCAGACAATAACGATTTTTTAAAGAAGGAAAACTGGACCACAAAAACAGAAATTAGAATTTTTGTTTTTGAAGTATACACGATCGATAAAAACGGAGACGAATCAATAAAAGTGGAAAAGACAATCAGGTTTTTAAAAAGAAAACACAGGAGGTGTTTCTAGACAGGGGCACACGTTTAGTTAAATTGCTTAATAAACAAATTATCCTAACAAAACTAATTGCAAATAAATTCTTTAAAATACTTAAAAATCGTGTCATTCAATTTACAACATTTGTACAAAAAAACAAATAAAATTGTCAAAAAATTTGTGAGATCATAAAAAGGGTGGCAGGTTCAAGTTGGTTGACAAGATTTTGATGGTCTTTTAACGACTATATAAAAGTTCATCTTTTGAACAAAACTGTAAAAAGACAACAGTTTTGTTGCCTCGATACTGCTGAATGGCGTTGTTTTGTTGAGTGAAATCTATTGAAATAGTTGGTCTTTATTAAGTCATTACTAGTCTTACCGTATTTACAATCTATGGTCAAACGCAGCCACATGTTATAAAAGAAGGGGATTACCCCTTTGTCATCATATTGTAAACCAGGGATTGGGAAAAATAATGAAACGCACATCATCAATTTTTGTCTCCTATTCTGCTATTTTTAACACCATACAACAATTGAATTTCGTTCCGTTTTGTCAATCGACCGCACGTGTCTATTTAGATTTGTCAATTGTTATTTTTTATTACGCAAGAATCGTGGAACCATGGAAAAACGAGGCAGTGAACCTAAATCGCTCAACTGACGGGTTTGGGACGTATCACAAAAGGCAAAGACAAACGAAACGAAATTATGAACAGAATTAAAAAAAACATACGGTGTGTGATCTGGTGCTGATTAAATTATCAAATTTCTTCTAAACGAATAAATGAGCAAAGATTCGTTAAACTAAATGTTAGTCAAGTTGCATGGGTTAGTGAACACGGCTTGACAATGTCCTAGCGAACAATACCGTCTCATGAATAACTGGCTCCTCCCACTCGACTCTAATTGACAGGTCGATAATTGCATGGTTGTCGACTTAGTGGGCGGGGACGAATAAACACGTTTATTTTGACACGGAATGCGATAATTCTCTCATTTGTCACAACAATTTGAAGGCAATATGTATGTTTTAGTAGCGAATGAAGCAGCCAGTGATTAGTATCATCTTCTAACAATATCAACCGCATTTTATTCAATTTTATCTGAAGAAGGATTTTCCTGCAATCCGATGATGGTATGAACATACTTGATGAATATACAGCCTTTGTCTTCTATGATTTGAAGCGAGAAACCGAAAGACCGTGTACTGTATTTGGCATTCGTGTGTAAAATTCGTGTTTTGTGACAGATACCTCAAGAGAAACATTTGTTATTTTGAAAAATGCCTCGACCAGGCCGTAATACGTACGATGAACAAAAACCGCCGTATTCATATATTGCTTTAACAGCTATGGCTATTCAAGCCTCCGGTGAAAAAATGCTGCCACTGAGCGATATTTATAAATTTATCATGGACAATTTTCCCTTCTACAGAAAGAACACACAACGATGGCAGAATTCTTTACGACATAATTTATCCTTTAATGACTGCTTTATAAAGATACCTCGTCGTCCTGACCGACCTGGTAAGGGCAGTTATTGGGCTTTACATCCCATGTGTGGTGACATGTTTGAAAATGGAAGTTTCCTCCGCAGAAGAAAAAGATTCAAAACAAAGATGAAGAGTCTGTCGGCATCAATGGAGAGTTTAAAATCTGAATTAAGTTCGGCGGCGTTCATACAGGAACAAGCAAGGATTAGGCTGCAGATGTCGCAAGATTCTAGTCGATTCCAGCCCTACAGTGTCTCTAGCTACACAGCACCGCCCAAGCAACCCTTCACCATCGAGAATATCATCTCTCCTCAGTATAAATCTACTACCCTTCTCCCACAGACCCTCCTCCCCGCGCACCTACCGGGATTTACTCCCCCGTTTCCAGGGGGTATCCCTAATCCTGGACTCCTGTCAGCGTATAACGGTGATTTACCAACGTCCCTTGCGTCAACGTTTTCGTCGATATCATCCAGTTTAGCTTCAAGATTTGGACATCTTGCTTCATTACCCAGTGACTATAGTTTGTTAAAACCCTCAAACTTTGAATCGTTTCCTCTAGGATTCAGGGTGCCGATAAAACCCGCCCCTGTTAGTGCTCTGTCGTATTCAAGACCAGGAGTGTTGATGGGGACAACAGGGCTTTCCCTAGCTCTCCCCAAAATACCATCCTCTTCTGAAAATATCGTTTCTAGTGCGACCCCGGCTTTACCGGCACCACCGTCAGCGACTCCGTTAGCTGTAAGCTGATCTTTTGGACAAATTTAGGACATTTTTGAAATTTAAATTATAGATGAAAACACTGTGTTAAAAATTATACAATATTTGTGACATTAGAGAACGGTGCCCCCCATAAGGTATTGTTATTTTAATTTCTGTGTTTAAGAATTATTTGTGATGAAAATTGTGTTTAATTTTTAAAATATGGAACATACTAAGGTAAGAAATACAGTTTTACTGATGAATTTTATCTTATTTTTTTTTAAATACCAGGAAATATACATATTTTGGATATCTCAAAATTTTATTTGAATTAAATTGTATTCTCGAAATATTATGTTTTTCGTGATTAATGTCTCTGATTATGCTAAAATACTAGTCAAACGTTGTACCTTTCTATTCTTTAAAGAAAAATAATGATAATGTCGCTAAAAATTAAAATGAATTTAAGAAGCAGTATTACTGTCAAATTAATAGTTTGTTTGGATCCGTTGTAGTAAAACTTGTATTTGAACACATTTACTGGGAAAGTCGATTAGAAATTTTGCAATTATTCAGTTAAATGTAGAAATCATCAAGGATTTTCTACTAAATAAAATTTTGAAACTAGATTCAAAGTTTTGTTGATATTTTTATTTTTATTTTTGTGAATTTTGTAAAATTTGTCATTATAATATTGTTTGTTTATGTGAATATAAAATATTCTAAAATTGAATTTTATTGTTTGTTTAATATATTTTTTATTTTATTTTTTGGTTTCCAAGGAGATAGAATTCTATCTGGGAGAAAACAGTATTAAAATGGCTCATTTTTATCCATCAAGTTCTTTAAAATATATGGAATTGAACTGGAAACTTGTGCTTATAGGCGACAATAGACATTATTGTCGTAACGTTTCCCCATATAATTGTTTGAATAGATTTCGTACATATTAAAGGGCCGATAAATCTATGCAAACCATAAAAATCTGTTGTCATTAATCAACCCTATATCATGTAAAAGTCCCGTAGCTTGTTTTAAGCGATATAGCAATTCCTTGCAAACTGCAATATTTTATCACGAATTCTTTAGATTAAAACGTAATAAAATATATGTATAATCTGTTTCAAATTCTACGAAACTATATTGCATTGAAAGGAATTAATACATCCATCATGTATACAATATTCTACTGATTCTTGGTCGCGTTAATTAGATGTGTTTAATTCCAATACCAAGTGTTGAAAACAACATCAATATCTTAACCGCAGTTTAGTATTTATTTACATTTCTCTTAAGCAGTCTTCTTCAATATGTTTCCAAAGAGAAATTTTAGACAATGATTCGAAAATTGGTATTGATTTTATGTCCTCTTCAAATGCTTTTATCCACTTGTCAAATTTCAATTTTTTAAATCCAAGTTATCTATCTTTTATAAAGTTTTGAGAGGCAATTATTACCCAGCGAAATATAGAGTTATTCTGATCAATGCAGTTTTGATATTATTATGACAATTGCGATACGTCTAAGACGAAGCATTTTTATCTTTATAGAGACAAGGGAAATTCGATCTGTTACAACGATATTTATCGGAGATTTAGTTACAAAACAATTATCTCAAAATGACATACTTAGTAAAGTAAATGTCATTTTATTCTCGCTTATTTGTTTTCTTTTCAATTCTTTAGAATTTATAAGGATATACACAGGTTTGCTTCTATCCATACAGAATGTCACATTCGCATAGAAGCTTGTCTGTTCATATTTTTTTTAATTGGGTATATTTGACTTCTGATATTACAACCAAGACCTGTGATAGTACGTGATTTATGATTAAACATATCGTTATTGATTTTGACTAACTGTTTTAAATAAATCAGATCAAAATTGATATATTAATACCTTATCTTGAAACAGAAGACAGGACGAGACATGGGTCTTATTTCTAATATACACTGTGAAGACAAAGGGTGGTAATCGGTTATTATAATTAATCAATCTTTGATCTGGTAGATTTTATTATAACCAAATTTCAAGAGACCAGTTATGTCAACCATTCTGTATGCGGGAAACGCATATATTTGAATGGTTGAGGCAAAAAAGATGAAATCTAAACCCCATTTCATTTTATTTCACCTCACAATTACGTATTAATTGAAGCAGGTTTTTTATGGCTTATCCTCAAGAGTCTGATCATTCATGACATCATTACTCTTTCTCGCATCAAAACTTTATCATCTTAGTATCATGTAACTTTATATTATCGCCTCTATTGTCATATTTGATATGCCTCTTGGAAAAATAAATAAATAAATAAATACATCGGACTTTTATATTCCCAAGAATGTATATCTTCTCTATTTTTAAAAATAAAAAAAAAACTGATTTAATTTTAAATGAAATTATTCTAAAATTTACCTATAATCATTCTAATAATATTATTTGCCCGTAAATTTACCCAAATCAATTGAATATTTTTCTTAAATGTGATTTAGATAATAAATATAAGGTTTAAGATAAATTTTAGTATGTAAATTGAAGATGTTATCTCAATGAAATCAAATATAAATTATACCATTTAATGAATGAAGATGTTATCTCGATCAAATTAATATAATTTACATTTTATCTAAACATTAACAATATACTTAACTAATGCAGAAAGGGAGAAAAACAAATTAATTTTAATTTAATGCATGAATACCTTTTTTTTTATTACTAATTCGATTAGCACTGATGTGAGAAATTATAATATATTAAATGTATGGTAACAATTCCGAGACCTTCTTAAACATAATGAAAGAATGATTGCATTTAATTTGGAGGACTGAAACAGGGTTCCCAGATCCCCAGGTATCTTCACGTAATTATTTATTAAAAATAATTTTAGTTTGGTCTCACAAATGGAACCCTCGCCCTCATCGGTGTAATTTATTGACTGTGCAAAATTAAGAGGACTGAAATAGTATTCCTAAGCGAGGGGTATCCCCAAATAATTAGTTATAAAATAATTTTAGTTTGGTAGCAAAACGGGAATCCTCGCCCTCCTCGGTGTAATTTATCGACTATTCTAATTTCTGGTATATTTAAGTTTGGGCGGAAAATGTTCACAGGAGAATTCAAAATGCTCTAAAGAAATGGTCATTAAACAGAATTTGGCCAAACCTATTTACCAATAAATTTTAATTGATTTGGAATGGTATACATTAGATTTTCCCACTAGACTTCCACATCCAGATGTATTGGTAATCGGAACAGTAATCTGTCGATATATGATATAGTTTTGTCAGTTTCATTTCGGAAAATGCTAAAAAAAAATCGCGGAAATAACGAAATACATAATATTATATTTAGCCAATATCGGATCTAATTAAATAGCTTCATGGTGCCATCTTGAAATTTACAGAACTTACCTACAAATTGAATTAAATATGGTTTGAATGAAAAGATGATGTGTTTATAAACGTAGATGCATTGGTAATCTACTGGATATTAAAGGGGTGTCTTTTGATAAATGATGCACCGGTAATAGTTAGACAATGGTGGGAATTTTGAAAAAAAAAACAACATTTATTTAGCCAACATGGGATCTTGAATTTAATCAGACACCTTTTGTGCCAGTGTTGGCGTTTATACATTAATCATGTTAAGTTGAATATTATACCATCATACCTCAACAAAAGACCGTTTCTTATTTCACATTCATATTGATGACTTCACTCATTTTATACGTTGTTAAAGTTAAAATTATTACAACGCTTTCGGAAACAGCCATTAACCCCTCTGCTATTTCAGCTGTCAAACAATTTTTTTTTAATCTTTAACTTAAAAGTGCATTATGTAAGAGCCAAATTTTCCTCTTGCGGGTCTTTATTTTGGCTTCAAATATATAAACTATTAGTGATAACTTCGCTCAGAATAAAGTAATTTGAACGAAATGAAATGAAATGGGGTTTAACGTCCTACTGTTCTGCTCCTAATATGGGCTAATAAAGACGGGCATACGCCATACAGTGTGCTATGAGGGAAATTTTGCCCGGGCAGCGGCGCTACGGTCTACTCTTATATCGAATTCCAACTGCCAAAGGGATCTTTTAAGTGCACGCCAATGTGTACACGGGGCCTCTGTTTTTCGTCCCATCCGAACGACTAGACAGCTGTCCTTGCCAGGCCCTCTATCCTGCATCACTGGCAAGGGGAAACCACGCCGGAAAATCTGAATGAACTTTCTCGGCCAATGCAGGGATCGAACACCCGACCTCCAGGCTAGCGAGCCAGCGTCTTACCCACTTAGCCACGTGATCCCCTAATTTGAACGAAGTGCCGTTGTTACGATAATAAACAATCTATGCCACATCTTGTCAAAACTTTAAACAGCGATAACTCCGCTCAGGGTAAAGTTATTTGAATGATATTTTCAATATTTTAATTTGCATTATCTATCTTTGAACTATTATAACAAGAAAGGTCAACTTTTTTATCTAAATATTACATAATACATCTTTAAGAAAGACCGTAAATTGATGCCTGACTTCAAACAGTGATAATTTCGCTCAGAGTAAAGTTATTTTAATGAAATTTCCAATATATTCATTTTGCATTAATAATAAAATAATAATAATGTCATTTATATAGCACTAGTCCACACAGAGTATGCTCATAGCACTTGTGATTCAGTTCTGTACAATAAAAGTTCAATACCAAGGCACCACTAAACATAACGTTTAAATAAATATGTCTTCAATAAGGTTTTGAATGCCGAAAAATATGGGCATTTATCTAACTTTGAACTATTATAACAAGAAAGGTCAGCACTTTATCTAAACATTACATTTTGTATCTTTAAGAAAGACCATAAATTGATGACTGACACTGCTATAATATAAATAATTAATTTATATGAAGATATCATCGCCACCAAGAATATACATCAGCTCTGATAAAATCGACATCTTGCTTTATTTGTTAATTCTCATCAACTGTGGTGGGCGTAGACAGAACGAAAGAAATATGAAAGCCAAACTAGTTCTCTCCTTAATAAATTACGTATCACAATAATTATGGATGACTGAATTTAATTGCATGAAAATGTAAACATTAGCATGCAAACATAAGCAAATTGGTTAAATTTTAAACCAACTAGTTAGTTCATCTAATTACACTTTGATCTATTTTTTCATTTCAGTTTTTCTACTTCGTAAGCCTACACCCCAGAAAAAGGTAATGACAAAAAAAATATAATTAAACGAAAATGGAACGATCCGAAAATAAGGTCTGATTTCAATTAGGGAGCATTATTGAGAGTTTTGCATAATACCAGTCTTCATTTAAAACATTTTGGTCATGATATAATGAAAAAGGGTAAATCTAAGTAATACTCAGTTTTTATAATTTCGTTGGCCTAAACAGCATTAAAGGTTAATGGCAAAAATTTAACGAAAAGAGAGAGAGAGAGAGAGAGAGAGAGAGAGAGAGAGAAAGAGAGAGGGGGGTTAACGTCCACTCGACACAGACTAGGTCATTTCGGAACTAACATTTGGTTCAATTTCAATTCAATAATTCGCTTGCGCGTAGGCTTCTATAGCAATGGGAGGAATCCGGAGGACCCGGAGAAAACCCACGAGGTTGGACAGGCGACCCTACTCTTTGTCACGTACAAGCGGGGAATCGAAACCACGCCATTTGACCCAATGACAGACCTTATGATGCAACGCGCACTCGATAACCATTCGGCCA